GAGCCGCACGGTGCCCGCGTCCCCCTGCGCCAACGCGGCGGGGTTTTGCGGGCGAGATCTAAGCGATTGGGGCCAGCGATACCCGCGCTGGGCTCCCGCGCCGGCTGACGTCTCGCCGCCGCCGGCTGATCACTCAGCATGACGGGCTGTTTGCAGATCGGAAAGGTGCAGCGAGCAGATAACGTCCCCGCGGGCTGGGAGAGCTGCGCGCACGGCACGGCCGAGCCGCCTGGCTATGGGAAAGGAGCAAATAGGTAAGAAATGCTGCCCGCCCTGGGTGCGTTCTGCTTGCCTGGGGACTTTGCTAGCTGCGTTCACGTTTCCAAAAATCGGTAACTGTTTAGGGCATTTTGACAGGCATTGAGAGCGCTGCAAATAAATCATAGGAGAAGGCTATTTTTAGGTACTGTTGGTGCTCGGACAGCAAAAAGCCATTGCATTTTAAAGACCATTAGCTTGCTGGGCACATCTGAAAGTCTTAAACGGTTTCAGGATTCAGGGTAGTGTTTGAGGAGATGCCAGCAGGAGCCGGCATGGCAATAAGGACAATCTCCGTGCTGGGCTTGGTGGCGGAGCCCCCTGCAACGAGCCTGCCGTGTCTGCAGGAGTTTCAGAGCGCAGAAATCTGCCCGGTTTCCTTCAGTGCCACGTGGACGGTGAATCTGGCCCGAGCAGATGATCCACAAAATGGGCGCGTTAGTGTAGTCCGTGGCGTGACGTGCACTGCGGGCGCTGCAGGGAGGTCACGGTGAAAGAGCAGCAAAGCAGTGACTCGACTTGGCTCGCGGGACCGTTGGCTGCGCGGAGCGATGGGGCGACGTCCCCCCGCGGAGCCGCTCTCCAAGGGGACGGCGTGGGGGGCTCGCGCTCTGCGGGGTCTGCTTGGTGCTCACGCGTCCATCTGCCTCCCTCCTCCCCAGGAACTTCTAAACCTGAGGGCGTCAGATTTGAAGTGTGAAGGAGTGGGAAGGAGTGGGGAGAGGAAGGACACGACTCCAAGCTGAAGCAGCCTCCAGACGTGCCGTGGCTCGTGGCACCGAGTCTCCTTCGTGACTTGTGCTGCTCTGTATTCCCAAGGGCTCGGTGCAACGCGCTGCAGCCAGCGCGGCCCAAGACCCTCCTCATCCTCCCCTGCTGATGGATGCAGAGTGTCCCAGTGCCAAACCTGGTTTTGGGGCGACATCTGTCACCTGTAAGGACTGCACAGGACAAGGCTTCTCTTTGGCGTGGCCATGAGGATATTAATGAGGTCTGTTGGTGGCACAACCGGCTGAGGGGCTCTGAGGCCTGGTGTGATGGATGCAGGATGGAGACCCCTGCGTGTGGGCACGTGGGGTCCCCAGGGGGCTGCTGCTGTGTGCTGAGAGATAGGTGCCCATCTCAGGAGGAGGAGGACAGTGATCGCTTGGGATGCTGAAGCTGAGGAGCTCACTGCTCGCCCTGGTTGAACCTCCTTTGGGACCAGGAGTTGCCCCAGCGCAGGCTGCTGGGCCTTGCTCCTTCTCCCCATCACGTGCCTCCTTGGGTTTGGAAGTGCTTAGGCAGCAGAGATGGTGGGAAAATGGGAATCTGCGGGGAGGAGGATAAATGAACCGGGCTTGTTTAGCCTGGCAGAACTGAAGGCTGAGAGGGGATGGGATTTCAGAAATACGCTGGGTGGGTGGAAACACCAGCGAGGAGAAAGAACGGATTATTCTAAAGGACAGCGTGGGCACGAGAACAAATGGAAAAAAACCTCACCATGGCTACGTTATCCTGGGGCTTTGAAAGCCAGGGCTGCAAGGTCCCTGGCCCACGGTCTCTTCAGAGATGTGAGGGCAAAGAGTGAACTGCTTTTGAGATCCCTGTCAGCAGGGACTCACATGATATAGTCTGGAGCAGCTTGATAGAGTGGGGCCAGGAGACTTGTCCTATCTTGGCTTGCCAGCAACACATATTAGAAACAGGCCAAAAAGGTCTCCCACTTCCCTTTCTTTCCACATCAGGATTGTCTTGTGGCTACAGCTGGTCTTCCCGGCAGGATAATGGATGGAGGAACACACGGCACATACGGTGTGCTGGGACCTGGAAAAGTCATGGGCCTGGAGCCCTGGGCTCCTGAGTGTTACCTCCATGAATCTCCTGCTGCTTTTGGATAGGAAGGAGGGCTTTCATCACCACATAGCTGACCACAAGGAGAATCCAGATCTGAAAGCCTGGAAGAGTGGATTAAAACAGATACCTGCCAGCACTTCCCTTTGCTCACCTGTATTTCCATCCACAAGGGCCAGTCCAGCTGTGAGGGTCTCTGAGATGCAGGAGGTCCAACACCCTCCTGGCTTTTGGCACCATTTGCACATGTATCCACACAGGGTACGGGTGTGCGGAGCAGCTTCGCTGCCTCTGAGCTCGTGCAAGGGGCAGAATAAACAGAAAATCTTAGCACATGGCAAGATGTAAGAATTAACTGGGCATCACATGGACTTGGGGGGGTGAATATTTATGTAGATAGGTCAGTAAAGATGTGACAGGAGATAATGTCAAGGGTTGCATCTACCTTTTGAGGTCCGGATGGGGTTGGCCCTCAGGGGATCAGGCTGGATTTGTGGTAGTGAAGGAGATTTTGGTGAAGCCTCCCAAAGGGAGGATGCTGTGGAAGAGATAGAAAAGGAGGTATCGGGACTGCCACTGATGGAGGCTTTGAAGAGTGGTTTAGACAGACGTTTTCTCAGGAATGAGAGAGAAAGTTGGCTTACCTGCCTCTGAGCAGGGCGTTGGGCGAGTGATCTTTTGAGGCTCCTTTTCCATGACATCTCTGGCTCTTTGGTGCCGTGATCATGAACCGGTTAGTGCAGATAAGTGCTGTGCCTTGCACACACGAAACCAGGAACAAGCCTGGTCTTGCTGAGACCCGTTTCCCCCCCACCCCTTTCCCTCCTGCCTCCGCTGTTGTTCTTGCTCTAAAACTCGACACAGGCTTTGGCCAGGGACATGCCGGGGGAGTTGGGGCTGGCTCGTGTTCTGGCAAGGAGATCTGTGCGGGGACGGCGAGTTTGCCAGCACCGTCTCCACTGAGTGACACTGTTCCCCGCCGGCTGCAGCCGCCGGCATTTCCCCCGCGTCCCTCCGCACCTTCCCCTGCTGGAGCCGCCTCCGAGCGCTCCCCGTGCAGCAGGACAGGCAGGTGCTGCTGCCAGCAGCGGGGAGGCTGCCGGGCAGGCGGCAGCAGCTTCTCCTTCCTGGGCAGGAGAAGCGGCCGGGAGCTGGGGCGGCCGAAGGATGCTCCGCGCGG